TTCCGCCCCATGGGCCCCGCGGGCCCCGCGGCTCCGTATCAGGTGAGGCGGGCGGGCGGCGCCGCTAGGGCGCCCGGGGTAGGGGGTTGAGGGGGCTTCGAGTGAGGGCCCTGGGGAGCCTCCTGGGCAGAGGGCACGGGGCCCCGCAGGAGGAACTCACGGGAGACGGAGGGGGTGGGCCAGGGGCCCTCGGGCAGCGGCTAGGTGGTGGTGGATGAGTTGGGGGAAGAGAGACTGCGGTGGAGGGTTTGAAGCAATTGGGAGGGTCTGGGGCTTCCTTGGCACAGAAATTCTGAGTAACTGAGAAATGGAGGAGTTGTGGGAGCTAGTGAATGGTAGGCGGGTGAGTTGAGACGTCTAGCGTACGTTCTAGGGTAGGCGGTCCTGGAAAGTGAAGACAAAGTTTTGGAAAAGGGCCCTCACTGAGAAGCCAGGGTTGCCCTGCATTGGCCTTGGTCCCACTCCAAGTCTACCCTGTTTTTTCTAGTTGGGAACTGGCAGAGTTCTAGCGTGTCTGAGATGGCTCCCAGCTGCTAATGAGGAGGAACGAGGCCAGGCTTCCCACGGACATGGGAGACTGAGGGCAGGGCAAGGGGATTCCAGCCTGTGCAGGAGCAGTCTCTACTCCCCGGTCAGGCCCAGGAGCCTTGGCTCGGGGTGACTCTGGGTTAGACCAGAGATGGTGGCAGCCAGACCTGAGGAAGGCCCAGCCCAGTAACAGATCATTCTGGGCAACTCTTTTGGGCTTTCTGCCTAGTGTCATAGTGTCCAGGAGTTGATTATCTGGAGGAGCAGAGCAGCTCCACGGAGCCCTGCTGGTCTGGGGCTGCAGGAGCATGTTGCTTCAAAGGGTACTGTCCTGACCCCTTTGGGGTTTGGCTTAGAAGAGAGATTCTCATGTTGCATCTTCAAAGGCCACTGAGAGGCAGAGAGTTATGGTCAGTGTGTGAGGAACTCAACCTAACTCTGCCAGTGGGACTCATCAGTCCCCCAGTCCGTTTCAGGTTGCCCCAGAATGCTTGGGAATTGGAAATTGTGCCCATCCTTTTTTCTGCCCCCTCCCCACTTTTGTTTAGCATTCAGGTTCTAACAACTCCATATCCCAGCCCATGTGCCCCAGCATTTGGCATGGGCTTCTTGCTAATTTTGTAAAGTCTGCCCTGGAGCTTCCTCTGTTCTCTCCTTATGTCTCCAGGTAGAGGTCCCAGAAGTGGATCCTAGAAAGCCCTCACTTTCTAGGGAGATGCTTAGCTGGGGACAGTGATTTCCCCCCTTACCCATTCCCTCTCCTTCCTCAAAAGAAAACAAAAGGGTTTGGATATGGAGTCCCAAGGATTCCAGGTGCGGTTCATCTTTCCCGTCTTGCTCTCCCCCTTGGGGATTGATGGACCCTGGGTGTCACTGAGGGGTCCCTGCATCAGTCATTCCGTGCCTTGGGCCTGCTAGCTGAGACCTGGCCTGGGAGCCTCTGTGGGCCTTTGGCCTTGGAGGGACCTGAAACAGACATAAGCCTCCCCAGTTTCCTTGGCATGCAACCCATGGGAAATGTGCCCTTGGGAAAGCCCCTAAGAAGATGGATTCCACAGTGTTTCCTGGGGATTGGCCTTGGGCCTGTGGCAAGGCCAAGCTGCCTGACTGGGTAGCCCTGGACTACTAGGTGTGGGGAAGTAGGAGATGGCCCTGACCCTGGGCTTCCCATCCCAGCAACCTCTCTTCTCCTCCTCTCTCTTCCTTCTCAATGGGAAGCAGGAGAACCCAGCTAACTTAGGCTGAGTTTGAGGAGGATCCCGCTTGCCCTCTTTCCAAGTCCAGTTGTATTACTTCTAGGACAAGGGACTTGAGATATGGGGAACAAAGGGGTTCCTGTCTGTTAGGGCTCATGAGGTGAGCTGGAAGAGTGAGGACTTGAGGGCCCAAGTTGGGCAAATAGGGGAGTTTGTTTAAAGAAGGGCAGTGATGACCCACCTCCCTCAGACAGTGGTTCTAGCTGTGGATCACAGTCAATTGAAGAGCTTAAAAAAACAAAAAAATGAAAGAAACAAAGAACCATGGAGTGCTGGATTCACTCCAGAGAGTTCAAAATACTTTCTACTCATCAGGAGGGATGGTGGTGGCATGTTTTCCTCCAATTGAGGCCCTTAGGCCCAGCCACCAGGAGCATCAGGGCAGGGCACAGTATGATCACCTAAGCTCTAGATGCCTCATCTGGAGGCTGTAGCATCAGACCCAGGCTCCTGCTCTGCTGTCCTGGGCCATGGTGGTAGAGTCAAGCATAGAATATGGCCTAGTGCTGGGCCAAGGGAGAGGAGGTTGCTGCATGCTTCTAGGGGTCAGGGGGACTGAGCCAGGTCTACCTAGCCCTGTTGCAGATGGTGAGTTAGGGAGGGTGAGAGTTCTGGGCTGTGGGGTTTTGTTTTTTTTCAAACTCCTGAGTTGTTTTTTTGAAGAGGGAGGAGTTACCAGCACTTCAAAGCGCAGGTGTGGAGCTTGGCAAGGCTAAGCTAGGACTGGATGAACTGTAAGCAGCCTTCCCCAGTGGCCCTGAGTGAGCTGGGGGCTGTGAGCCCAGGAAGCCTGGAGCAGATGTCTGGGTGGGGCCTATTCCAGGCCCTGCCTGTGCTGCCTTGTCTTGGGATTCCCTGGTACCAGAGCACCTGCTGAGGAGGAGTGGGTGGTACTGCAGGCTTTGTGAATGCCCTACCTAGTGAGTAGCTTCATGGGGACCACAGAGCCCTAGCTCACATTCTGCAGGTCCCACTGCTTCAGTTCTTCCTCCCCTTTGTCTCAGGCACTGGGAAAAACATGAGTCTGGGATGTCTGTGGCCTGGGCTTACAGCTGTGACCACAATGAGTTTTTTCCCTACGATCTCTGGCCGTGGCTCATTAAGGCAGAGAAACAGGCTGTCTTTTGCCTTTCGACAGCCCTGCTGCATCTCTTCCTTTTTTTTAAAAAAGATTACCGGTAAGGGGATCTTAACCCTTGACTTGGTGTTGTCAACACCACGCTCAGCCAGTGAGCTAACCGGCCATCCCTATTGGGATCCGAACCCGTGGCCTTGGTGTTATCAGCACCACACTCTCCCGAGTGAGCCACGGGCCGGCCCCTGCATCTCTTCCTGATGGGGAGAGAATTGTGGCAGGACTGCTGAGATCCCAGAGCCCCCACTCTTGAACTCTTCATTCTCCCAAACGCTTTCCTCCCACCCTGCTCCTCCTTTCCCTTTCCCCACTTCTCTGAATCTTTTCTCCCCATCTCTGCATCTGATCAAGAATCTGACCCTCTGTGTTGGGAGCATGGATTTAGTGCTAGATGAAGAGGTGAGGGAAAAGTCTCTTCTCCATCATGCTGGGGTAGTGGGGAAAGTCCTTTGATTTGTTGTGAGTCTCCACCCAGCCTGGCTTGGTTGGCTGGTTATGCTGGTTGCATAATCTGGGCCCTGGGGCCAGCCCTGTGAAGCTGCCAGGGACAGTGTGTGCGAGGCAGAGCTGCCAAACAGGCCTTGCAGGCAGCAGCCATGGAGAAGGGGGGTGGGGGGTGGAAGTTACTCCCAGATGGTCTCCATAGAAATGTTGGGGAGCTGGGCCTTGGGTGAGAAATCTTGCAGGCTTCTAAACAAGCTATTTCCATCACCTGGATGCCTGCTGCTGACCCTATGACTCTGATCCTTGCAGCCCTGCATAATCTTATCCCCATTCTCCAGTTTGGGATTGCTAGGGCCCTGATGAACCCGAGCCAGTCCTGGTTGCCAGGTGGTGCCTGGACCACAGGCAGAGTCCAGGTGCCAACTGCTCTTTCTCCCACAAGTCACCCATGAGCCAGAGCTTCCCTTTTGGGGTCTTTGGTGTAGGGGTCGGGGTGGAGCAGTACAAAGGTGAGAGAAGGGTCCAGTCCTGGGTTGTGGGTAGGGACTATATGGTGACCAGATGGTCTGTCTGCCTGAGGCCACCCCCTCACCACTTGGGACACATACAAGCTGTCATCCTTTTGCAGCTTCTCACCTGGAATGCTGTTGCCTGTGGGCTTGCAGCCCACTGGACTGCCTTATCAACTGCAGCCACACCACCAGGCTGGCAATGGTGTGTCTATTGGGGCTCTGCCCAACAACCTGCTTATACCATACCACACCCGTCTGCCTGGATATGACACTGCCCCCATGCCTCCTGGGCTGCGCTTCTCCCTCAAGATGGGGGAAGGAGAATGAGGGGGGTGCTTAGTGGTGCTATCAGAGGGCCATAAGAGTGCCTCAAAGCTGGCTTGTCCCAGGGAGTTGGGGCATAGCATGCTGGGGCTGGAAGGCAGTGATGGGCCCCGAGAAGCTCCCCAGTCCCTCCCCTCTCCAGGCAGGATTCTCCTCCCTCCCTGGGTGCTGGCATGCCTCATTCGCTGGCACAGCTGCCAGGGCGGTTGCAGGGGGCGGGGCAGGTGTGGTTTACACTCTGAGCTCAGACACCCGCTCCCCTTTGTTCCTGGCACTCCAGTGGGGCCCTGTGGTGTGCTGCCTAGGGCCAGGCCTGGCTGAGGAGAGGGATGGAGGGCATGGGCTATGGGTTCCAGAGGGCCCTGCCACTGACCTATGCACCCCTGTTGGCTCACTTCCCCCAGCGGCCTGGCATGTCACCAGGGAGCCGGATGCCCATGGCTGGCTTGCAGGTGGGACCCCCTGCTGGCTCCCCATTTGGTGCAGCTGCTCCACTTCGACCTGGCATGCCACCCACCATGATGGATCCATTCCGGAAACGCCTGCTTGTGCCCCAGGCCCAGCCCCCAATGCCTGCCCAACGCCGGGGGTAAGACCATCTTGTTTTTCCTATCCTGCCTAGCCCAGCTCTTGTGGTAGCAGAGGGTTTCCTTCTACCCTAAGAGCTTCAATGACTGAGGAAGACTCCTGGCTCTCCCTGGGGAGAGTCCTGGGGACTGGAGGAGTGGATGTGGGTGTGAGTGTCCTTTGGACCGTTGACCTCTTAAATGGGTTTCTGTCCTCATCAGGTTGAAGAGGAGGAAGATGGCAGATAAGGTTCTACCTCAGCGAGTGAGTGTGTTGGGACGGAGGCCTACGAGGCCTACCCAGTGTCTAGCTGGGGGTGGGTGTCCATCTTCCCCAATCCTGGGATGGGGGAGGAAGGGAGGAAAGACCCAGAGCAGCTGCAGAAGTAAACTGATGAATCTCTTCTCCCCACAGATCCGGGAGCTTGTCCCAGAGTCTCAGGCATACATGGATCTCTTGGCTTTTGAGCGGAAGCTGGACCAGACCATTGCTCGCAAGCGGATGGAGATCCAGGAGGCCATCAAAAAGCCTCTGACGGTATGTGCAGCCCTGACCACCCCCCAGGCTTTCCAAACTTCTCTGCCTCTCCGTGGCCTTATTTTCCAGGGGCCAAGTGAGGATCTGTGTTGAGCTAGAGCAGGGTGTTTCACATGCAGGATACAACCTGTTAGTAGAGCGTGAACTCAGTTTAATGTGTTGGGGCTAGCATGTTAAATGAATATGACATAGTAGAAAATATAAAAATACTTCATAGTAGTAAAGTACTTACCATAGTGGTGAAGGTATTATTTCATGAGATTTTTGTTTCAGGTATTTATATATATGTATGTAGTTCCTGGGTCATGATTTAAAATGTAAATCTCATGGATCATGGTCAAAAGTATGAAAGCCACTAGACTAGAGGGTACATAAGGGTAGTTCCTTTCTCCTTCTCTGTCCCTAGAGAAGCTCTTTTCTTTTCTCTTTTGTTTTCTTTTCTTAATAATAATCTAGAACAGTCCCTTGAGTGGTGAAGGCTTTCCAGGGGACTAGGATGTTTTGGGACCATGATGGGTGTTTGGGTTTCATTTTAAATGAGCCAACACCAAGGTCAAGGGTTTGGATCCCTATACCCGCCAGTCACCAATAAAATAAAAGAAATTTAAAAATTAATAAATAAAATATGAGCCACAGGCTTCTGATTTGCTTGATGGCACCCTGCATGTACCTCTGTCATACCACCGATCTGGTGATGCATCTGTTTCCGCCATAAAATTTATCAGTTCCTTAAAGGCCACATCTGGGATTTACTACTCCCAATTCCCAGTGCCTAACTAGGTGCCTGGCCCATAGTGCTCAGTGATGATTGTTGAATAAGTTGCAAAGATTGGGTGGCATTGTATTCCAACATGTTGTCCACCTCTAGTTGATTGTCTCTCTCTCTTTAGCAAAAGCGAAAGCTTCGTATCTACATTTCCAATACATTCAGTCCCAGCAAGGCAGAAGGTGATAGTGCGGGAACTGCAGGGACCCCCGGGGGAACACCAGCAGGAGACAAGGTGGCTTCCTGGGAACTCCGAGTGGAGGGAAAACTGCTGGATGATGTGAGTTGGGGATGGAGGTATCTGGAGGGGAGGAGGGCCTTGTAGGTTTAAGTCTGGGGCCAGACACTTGGACAGTTCTGGAGAAGTCCTGCCATAGGGAGAGGGCCCTTGCTCATGGTCATGCTTGGCATAGCTCCAAGCCAGTTAGAGGTTGATTTGTGTGGTTGTTACAACTTGTTTGCAGATGGCAGTCAAATGTCTTGAGGAAGTCCTTCATTGGCTAGCAGTGGGGCTCAGAGAGAACCTTTTCTCTGCCTCCAAACTGCCACTGTGCCCAGAGCCTCACTGCTCCCTTCAGGGCCCAAGAATCCCCAGTACTCCAGGGTTGAAACTATACTCCTCTTTTTTGTTAAGCATAGCTTTAGGTTTGGGAGCTCAGCAGCACCCCCATCTTGCACCCCTTTCCATTCCCAGCCTAGCAAACAGAAGAGGAAGTTTTCTTCATTCTTCAAGAGCCTTGTCATTGAGCTGGACAAGGAACTGTATGGACCTGACAACCACCTGGTGGAGGTAAGCATGGGCCTGGGGCACAGGGAGAACAAGCTGCCTATGGACACTGAACACAGGCTGTGACAGTGGGGCAGAGAAATGGCCTTGGTCCCCTTGGATGGCCAGATGTTCATGCCCCTCACTTCCCTGCCAGTGGCACCGGATGCCCACCACCCAGGAGACAGATGGCTTCCAGGTGAAACGGCCTGGAGACCTCAATGTCAAGTGCACTCTCCTGCTAATGCTGGATCATCAGGTGACAGATGCCCTGGGGTCATGTCTGGGGCCACAGGGACTCATCTTATGGCAGGGGTGGGGTGGGAAAGCACATTGCTATAAACCCTTACCATGTGTCTGCCCTATTCTTCTGCTTTTTCACAAGAACCCCTCCTGATTCCCCTTTGTCCATCCCCAGCCTCCCCAGTATAAATTGGACCCCCGATTGGCGAGGCTGCTGGGAGTGCACACACAGACCAGGGCCGCCATCATGCAGGCCCTTTGGCTTTACATCAAACACAACCAGCTGCAGGACGGGCATGAGCGCGAGTACATCAACTGCAACCGGTACTTCCGCCAGGTTAGCCCAATGCTGCCATCCTCCTCTGTTCTGCTGCCACCCCTGCCTGTGTGCTGCTCTAGAGCTCCTCCTCCATTCCCCCAGGCTAGTTCTTGATCACAGTCTTCAGACTGCTGTCCTTACTGGCCCTGGAATGGTCCACTTCTCTTTTTTTTTTTTTAAAGATGACCGGTAAGGGGATCTTAACCCTTGACTTGGTGTTGTCAGCACCACGCTCTCCCAAGTGAGCTAACCGGCCATCCCTATATAGGGATCCAAACCCGTGGCCTTGGTGTTATCAGCACCACAGTCTCCCAAGTGAGCCATGGGATGGCCTTCCCCCATGCCCTTGAAGGCATTAACAAGCCTTTGGTACTCTACAGATATTCAGTTGTGGCCGACTCCGTTTCTCTGAGATTCCCATGAAGCTGGCTGGGTTGCTGCAGCATCCAGACCCCATTGTCATCAACCATGTCATCAGGTAAATGGAGGAGGGGGATGGGAGGCTTTTCTAAGAGCAGATTCACCTTGGCTTGATCTAAAGCCAAAGAGAGAAGCAGCAGGCTGGTTTCTTGTTCCCCGAGTGTGTGCACACCATGGGCCCCAGGTAGGCAGGATGAACATAGCTGTGTGCTTCCCCTTCCCTTCCTGTGTGCTGCCTGTAGTGTGGACCCTAACGACCAGAAGAAGACTGCCTGTTACGACATTGACGTGGAGGTGGACGACCCACTAAAGGCCCAGATGAGCAATTTTCTGGCCTCTACCACCAATCAGCAGGAGATTGCCTCCCTGGATGTCAAGGTGGGCCGTCTGTCAGGCATTTCCATACATGTAGCACCTTGGGAATGGGATCTCTGGCTCAGTCCTTGGGTTAGGCGTGGGAACAGACCTGCAGGAGTAGGGCCAATCTGACACGTATCCCCTTCCCCCAGATCCACGAGACCATTGAGTCCATCAACCAGCTGAAGACCCAGAGGGATTTCATGCTCAGCTTTAGCACTGACCCCCAGGACTTCATCCAGGAATGGCTCCGTTCCCAGCGCCGAGACCTCAAGGTGTAGTCCTCTTTCCTGAGGGGGATCCCATGTGAACCTCTGGGTGATTTTTTCCTCCTAAGCACTGTACTTCCAGTTCTAGAGGCAGATTAGCTCAGGGGTGGGAATCATGCAATGGCTTTCCTCCTGGCTCACTACAGATCATCACTGATGTGATTGGAAATCCTGAGGAGGAGAGGCGAGCTGCTTTCTATCACCAGCCCTGGGCCCAGGAAGCAGTGGGGAGGCACATATTTGCCAAGGTGAGGCTCTGCCCTGTTTACCCTCCTTTGGTTGTGAATAGCAGAGGCCTGAGCTGCTGCTGTTTCTCTTCTCCAGGTACAGCAGCGAAGGCAGGAACTGGAGCAGGTGCTGGGAATTCGCCTGACCTAACTGCTCAGGGATCTTTTCCTTTCTTCCCAGCCCTGGAGCCTGGAAGGGGACCACAGACACTTAGGGAGTGAGGGGTCTCCTGTCACCCTCTACTCTCCAGCTTTAGTTTCATAAACATAGTGATAGGCTTCCTTGTTGCTTGGTCCCCAAAGCCTTATTACTTTTCGCATTGGCTTTAATTGGGTTCTCAACAGATGCCTCCTCTGCCCCCCTGCAGGTAGGCCCAAGTAGGACTGCTGGAGGCTGTGCTTTGAAGTAACTGAGACATTCTGGAACCAAAGGCCCCTGGGTTTGCATGTTTACAGACTCTCCCCCTGGGGCGAGTGTCAGAGCTGGCTCTGAGGAGCTGGGCGAGGAAGAGGAGGCACAGCCCAGACTCTTCTTAGCCTTTCTAAACCAAAGTTCTTTGCCATTCCTACAAGCCCAGCCTTGCTGGTTTTTTTCCTTTCCTTTGGGCATTTGCACTATTTGGGGAGCAGGTTTTTCTATGTGGGAGCCACTTTTTTTGTACAGGGGTAATTTGGGGTTTTCAGGGAGCCCTATCTGGTGCCTCCATACTCATTTTCTTTCCTCAATCTATGCAAGCGGCTCCAGCCGCCATCATCTCCTGAGATGCCAGAGGGCTGCCTGCCTGGGGAGAAGCCTCCTAGAGGGAGGGGACATTCCAGTTCTCTTGCAGGTGTGTGCAGGGTGAGGTGAACAGGGAGACTGGGAGGATTGTTGTTGCCCTTTGGAGGCTGGTAAGGAGGGTGGGCCTAGGACTGGCAAGTGCCACTTCTGGCAGGTTTGGAAATTTCCAAATAAATCCTTTTATTACTGGTGCCCAGACCTGGTCACTGAACAGTGTAGCTGCTCATTAACAGATTGGACTCCTAGAGGGCTTGTCCCACTGAGCTTTATTTCAGGGATCCACACAAAGGACACTGTTCACTTCCATAGTTTCTTGATGGACATGTTTTTCTCACTGTCCTTCTGCATGACCTGGAGAGACAGTGAGCTTAAGTTATGAACTGGGCAAACACACACCCTAGCCCACTTCTCCAGAGCCACCATCAGCAAAAGCAGAAAGATGGAGGAAAGTACCTTGGCTACCGCCATCTCAAAATCCTCCTGAGTGACATGGACTCGCCGTTCCCGCAACGCATACATGCCAGCTTCTGTGCACACACCCTGAGTGGAAAAAGGAAGCTGAGGCCCTGTGGCTATGTCCCCTCAGCCCTGAGTGTCGCACTTGAACCCAGAGCTTCCTGCCTCTGCCCTGTTCTCCTAGGGTACTCCAGTTACCTTCACTTCGGCCCCTGATGCTCCTGGCATGAGCTCAGCAATTTTTCTCAGGTTGATCCCCCGGGTCAAGTTCATTTTCCGAGAATGGATCTTCAAAATGTCCAACCGGGCCTAGAGATAGGAGTGGAAAGGCCTGAGCCCCACACCCCAGCCCCATAACCAGAGCCACTGCAAGCACTGCCCATCACAAACCTCCTCATTGGGGGGTGGGAATTCAATTTTTCTGTCAATACGCCCCGGGCGAAGCAATGCCGAATCCAGGATGTCAATCCTATTAGTAGCCATGATAACCTGAGTGGAGAAAGGGGGTGGATGAGCTGAGCCCATCCTTAGCCTGCACAGCAGCCACCGCCTTCCCCTGGCTCATCCCAAGCCAAGTATCACCTCACCTTAATATTCTTGGTGGCCTCAAAGCCGTCCAGCTGGTTGAGCAGCTCCAGCATCGTTCGCTGCACCTCACTGTCCCCCCCAGAACCCCCCTCCAGCCGTGAGGAGCCAATGGAGTCGATCTCGTCCATGAAGATGATAGATGGAGCGTGTTCTCGTGCCATGACAAACAGCTCTCTCACCATTCTTGCCCCTGTGCAGAGGCCAAGTTGGCATTAGGGAGCTAAAGAGTTCCCCACCCCCTCACCCTTCTGCTTGCTTGTCACATTCCTAGCCATAGTTACCTTCTCCAATGAATTTCTGTACCAACTCAGAACCAGAGACACGAATAAAGGTACAGTCTGTATGATGAGCTACAGCTCGGGCCAGCAGTGTCTTCCCAGTGCCCGGAGGGCCGTACAGCAGCACTCCCTAGAGGGAAACAGCAGGACTGAGGGCAGAAAGCCAGCCCCCTCATTTCATTTAGTGGACATTCACTGAGTGCTGGCTTTGTGCTGAATCAAAAAAATGAACATCATGGTCCCTTCTGGAGTTTATATCCAAACCACATCAGTGCCCTGGAAACATCTCTCCCATAGCTACCCTTCAGCAAAGGGGGCCAGTCCAAGTAGGCTGCAGTCTACCCCACCACTTCCCCAACCCCTGCTCTAGGCCTAGGGCAGAAGGAGTAAGGACAGCATGACTTTCCCAGAGAAGCCCTGCTCTTCACCTTGGGCTGTGCAATGCCCAGTGCTTCAAAGAGCTCGGGATGCTTAACAGGCAGCTCAATCACTTCTTTGATCTCCTTGATCTGCTTGTCCAGTCCACCAATCATCTCATAAGTTGAGTCTGGCACCTTCTCCACCATCATCAACGATACCAGGGGGTCCACCTTGTTGGGTAGGATCTTGTGCAGAGTGTAGCTATCATTTCTTAGAGCCACTCGACAATTGGGTGTCACCTGGGTGAAGGGGTGAGTTTCAGGAAGTGGTGCAGTAAGAGCTGACCCCACCCCCCACCTTACCTACTATACTCACATCATTGATGTCTATGTTCTTGTCCACATCTACAACAAACTTGCCCTCAGGATGTACCTAAAGAAACATGAGCTTATGACTTTCCCTAACAGCCACCATATTACCAACCCTACCCAGAAAGACCCCTGAGAGTCTTAGAATAAGATGACAGAATACTGTCTTACTGAGACTACATATGACATGCAGTGGGAAACAGGATGGTTCCTGGGATCACGCTTCTTTTACCTTGACCAATACTTTCTTCTTATCCATGGCCCGGACTACTTCCCCCACATAGGAGCCCTGTTCCTGCAGCAGCTGTAGCTCTTCCCGCAATAGGCGAACTAAATGGCAAACAGACACAGTGGTCACCTAGCTTCTCCTTTGGTGTCCCCTTCCCTAGGTCTCAATTCAACATGCATAGACTAAACATCATTTTGAAGTTTTGAAGGGAAGGCCACAGAAAAAGAGAGGGTCAAAATTCATGTCTTTAAGGGTGTTCTGTGGAGCTCGGGAGACAGAAGTACACAGAACAACTACACAATGACAGTGGGAAGCATCACCTTGGACTAGGAGAAACCAATAAGCACTGTGGTGAAGACAGTGCCAGGAGATTAGGAACAGTCACACCTCAAACTGCTACATGCAGCTTCCCACCTTTCCCTCCTCACCTTTTGCATTTAGCTCATTCCTCTGTGCCTGCAGCCTCCGGAGGTTTTGGCTCTTATCGTTCACAATCAGCTGTGGAGAACAAGAGACAAATTGTTACCCAAGGGCAGAAGACATCTTGGCCAAGATGTTCACAGGAGGGTAGAAGCTGAGGGAGGGACACAGGACACATATATTTTGTTTCAGATTCTCCAGTATGATCCTAGTGACCCTGTCCTGTCCTCCCAGAGTCTTCCTGGAGCCTAGGGCAGCCATCAAAAAAGGCTGCTTAGGGCAGTCCCATGGCGCACTCGGGAGAGTGCGGCACTGCTCCCACCGCGGGTTCGATCCTATATAGGAATGGCCGGTGCGCTCACTGGCTGAGCGTGGTGCGGGCGACACCAAGCCAAGGGTTGGGATTCCCTTACCGGTCACGAAAAAGCCAAAAAAAAAAAAAAAAAAAGCTCAATAATAATAGTACATAAAATAACTGTTTAAGAAATAATTTAATTTCTATTTTTTAAGATGGCAACATTATATTAAAGATCAATTAATTTGTTCAGGGTCACACAGTATATTAATCGTAGGACTTACCACTAAAATCCCCAAATACCCCATCTTCATACTTCTTGAACTGAATTTTAGGTCTTTGCTTTACATTTATTAACAAAAGAAATTTAATGAGATATTTGGAAGTTCTCTCTAACAGGGAGTTAGGATGAGATTTAGCTGACAGCATAATAAACAAGGAGGACAAATAGATCTTAAAGAAAATGACTCTGCTTGGTGCTATGTGTAGATGTACCTGTGGGAATCAATCAATGATCATATCCTACTAAATGGAACAAGTCTAACCCTCACTAGAACTAAATTGATCTTGTGGTTCAATTTATTACTCCTGTTGCTACTCCTAATAAAATTGTCTTAAAAGACAATACTAGAGTTACTTTAAAGGAGAAAAGTTAACAGCTGGCTCATGTAGTGAACTTGCAAAGAGGCAACATGGTACCTTATTTTTCGAGCATCCCTAATCCAAAAATGTGAAATATGAAATGCTCAAAATACCAACACAATGATGCAAGTGGAAAATTCCACACCTGACACGTTATTTTTTCCACTGTATTAATGATATGTCATATTCTTTACTATTAAGTACTTATGTGTGAATAAGTGTAAGAAAATGATTGCTTATCTAGTACCATACAAATTAAGTCAGTGATGATGGTGATCCCAACCACAGATTGTCCACATGGATAGCTGAGATAGTGCCACCTTTACTTTATGATGGTTAAATATACACAAACTTTGTTCCATGAACAGAATTACTAAAAATATTATATAAGATTACCTTCAGGTTATGTGTATAAGCTTTACGTAAAACATTAATGAATTTCATTTTTAGACTTGGGTCTTCTCCCCAAGATACCTCATTATGTATATGCATATATTCCAAAATCCTTAATCTAAAATACTGGTCCCAATCAGATGTATATTATTGTCACTTAAACAGAAATCATTTTTTTCATGTCATTAAATATTCCTTGGCAATATCATAAAAAAAAAAAAAAAAAATACTGGTCCCAAGCTTTTTGGATAAGGGATCCTCAAACTGTATAGTGGAAAGATCTTTACGTCAGAAGTCTGAGTTCTAGCCCAGCTGCTGTCAATTAAAAGTGAGGCAATGCTAGGGCAAACCATTTAGAAGATTTAGATCCCCTACCAAGCTGCACATGGGCATAGCATTTGCTACCCTACTTCCTTTCTGGACTATTGATATGAACAAATGAAATCACATGTTAAAGCATTCAAAAATGGTAAACCAAATATAATGCCTGAAAATCACCTGAAGTTCAGAAAATTTCCCTGTGGCTTCTCCCCATCTCATTTCCATTAATTACTTTTCTTTTTTCTCTGGTCTCCTACTTCTATGATTTAGCTCTTTAGGCACTAGGTTACTGGATTCCTTTCATTTAATTTCCATCGAATCAGCAATGTCTAGATGCTGTCCTTTCTCACACTCATTTCATCCTGCCCCAATCCCTTTCTGATAAATCTCATCTTCTGAGCCTATGTTTTCCCTTTTGTAAGAAACTCTTCATTCAGGCTTCTTCCAAAAGGGATGATCTTTGGCTAAAGGTACCTTTTCTGTAAAAATCTGACTCTTGAAGATGTGTAACAAACTGTGATTGCTACTACCCTCAAAGGGGTGCGACAGAAACTGTTAACTTCATATACTTTTTATTGTTTGTTACTTCTTATACCTACACTTTTCTAAAATCTAAAAAGAAAGAAAAAGAAAAGAAAAGAATAAGCTTTTTCCACTGCACTCCCAGTGGAATTATATGGATTTTAGAAATCTGCTTCTATCAATCTTCATCCCCCTCCTTTCTCCCTCCACGCTCCGTCCTCACCTGGAGTTCTTCGATCTTGGACAGATAATACTGGCGGAGTCCGCTGCCTGCCTTCCCCTCTTCCAGCTCCATCTGAAGACACAGTGTAATTATTAA